TTCAATCCCTGGATTGGACAGTGTGTGGCTGCACTCATTGAAAGCGGGGAAAGAATGATTGAACAATATTAAAAGAAACTAAGGACTAGACAATATATCCATAGATATGGGTAGTGGAACGAGAACAGTCTACCCCCGTAGATTAAATCTTGGTATTCACTCTAGGTTACCCAGATGGGTATACATACGAGGAAGGCCGGAGTACGCAACGACCTAAGTATTAATAACAAAGATGAGGAAAATATTCCGAATATAAATAATGTAAGTAGTGATTATAAATAATTTGGCAAAAAATAAAATAAACCAACATATTTTAGTGAGCGTAAACACATCAGATAAATTCATTAAGAACAAAGTGGAGGAAAGAATAAAGTGGATGGAATGAAACCTCAGAGATCTCTAAAAGACTAAATTATTATTGCTGGGTTTTAAATTACCCCTCGAATTCTACTCAACCAAGGTGATAATGCCACTAAGACGCAAGGCTTTTACTGAGAGTAGAACGGGAGGGATGAGAAAATCTTTATGAAGGAAAAAAGCGCACTAGAAGTAAAAGGAAGAAAGCCACTAATTGACGTTATATTTAAATGTTTGAAGATTGTTGTTGGCAGAGAAACGAGAAACCGGAAAAGTCATAGTGGTGACAAGTGTAAGAAAAGAAATTCAAATAAAACTTACGGTTGTATCTATTTCAATACTAACACGATAAGATCTAGTAGCCAATGCGCTTAAATCCACACGATCGCGGTTACCAAGGAGGAGAGTTCATTAGAACAATTGCTATGAAAATATTTCTAGAAAAGGAAAATGAGACCCGTGACTGAAGTGAAGATGCCAAGTCAGGATCGATAACATTACAGACCATTCTTTGGATTTAGTCAAAAATCTAGAGATATATAGCCGGAGCACAAGACCAGATATGGCGACAGTATTCAATGTATCGACGAACGGTAGATGGATCCATATACAAGATGGATTCTGCCAAGAAAAAATCCATTGCACGACACGATGAACCAATTTTTCTAGCAGAGGAACGAGCAGTTGTATGACTAGTTTCTAAACATTCGCGCTTCATGTCAGTAAAAAAGAAGAAGAAACACACAAAGAAAAGAGACCAAGAAAGCGCATTGAGTTGCTCATCTGGAGGTTACCGTTAGCCAAGGTGGAGGGCAAAAATGTTCCTCTATGTTGATTAAAGAACAGAAGTTTCATTTCTGTGGGGTTAAAATTTGCAAGCCATTTATTGCCCCTGTTAACAACTGATTGGAGATCATTTTCGAGAGTAACAGTTTTACTCTGTAGAAACTATTGGACTTACTACATATGTATTGGAAGCGAAATCGCCACTCTTAACATGACAACATTGATGTAAAAAAAATTATCAGCAGATAATTAGGAAGAGAGATTTATGTATTATTAGGAAGAGATATTTATGTATTGGATTATTGGAGAGAAAGTTTAATTAGCTACTCATCTCTCAAGAGATTGAGGACTTCGCAGACCCATACTGAAAGAACTGAATTATTCAATGTATAGCTATAGGAAATTGGGTTTCAACAAGCAACTCTGCGGTCCATATGACCAGTTAACTTTAAATGATGTACATGTTGTATTGGCTTTCCCCGGCTACTTGATCATATCTGTAAATTATCCAGATTCTTTCTACACAATTTTGAATTCAGAGTTGTCATTCTTATAAACTAGTTGCCAACACAGGCTAGAAATCACATTTGGCCTTGTTATTTGTTATATATTTATGAGGTGTAAAAGACGAGCTTATTACTTTCTCTTGCGTGAATTGAACACAAACTAGAATTAGACGTTTGCTTCCATTTTACTCTTAATATTACAGTTAACTGCAACTGGTACTTGGCAGTTATGGAAAATATTTACAGAAATTTGAAGCCAATCTTAATGAGCCATTATTTTTTTAATTTTAAAATACAATTGGAACATTCAATATTTTAATTTTTTAAAGCTAAAATAAAGATACTCAGAGAAACCAAATCGATTGAAATTTAATTTTATATTGCGTATAGTTACGTCCTGAAACATTAAAAATAAAACTAGAATATATTGTTTTTATTATTTTTTAATCATTTCACACCAAGGAAGGCAATACAGATAATAAGACGCAAGGGGTTACGGGGTGATAGAGAATGTAAAAAAAAAACAACTAATATTGAAGGAGAGAGGACTGTAAAAGAACACGAATTGAGAAGACAATGATTGACAATGGATATAATTTTTTGAAGATCAAAGTTGGCGAGGAAGCAAGAAGCTGGCGTTCCACAAGCCAGAAGTGCGAGAGAAGAAATTGTTAGCATAAAACTTATGGTTACGTCGAGCCATTTCAACTGTAAAATGGTGAGACCTTTCCGCCAATCTAGTACTGCGCTTAGATTCATAAAGTCTAGGTACCATAGCGGGAAAGTTCATCTGAAAAATTACCATGAAAATATTAATAGGAAAGACACAAAGAAGCTATATTATAGCGGTGGGAAAACGATTGAAAGCGAGATGTTAAGTCAGGACCAATAACATTGCAGATTCTTTGGATTTTATCAAGAATCTCTGAATAAATAGCAAGAGCACCAGACCAGATGCAGCAGCAGTATTCAAAGTAAGATCAAACGGAAGAATAGGTTCTCTTGTAGCAAAGCTAGCAATTGATACAAAATAATTGTTCCACTTCATGTCAGGTAAAAACGCTATCCCGAGAAGGCGAAACTACTTTAATAAAATATTCTGTATACTTTTGGGTTGCAAAAAAGATCGATACATTTTAAAGATTTATTTTTCCTTTCTTTAACGACTAAATGTTTTCAAATATTTTATATTGTCTATCTTTAACTGTTCTTCTATATCCTTGAGAAGTAAGTTTAACGTGGAAATTTCAAGAGGTTTTTGCAATTACTATTAAATACTCAATGAAATATAACCATTTTAATGTTATTTGCTATGCCCACTCAAGGAGCCGCTATTGCGCTTTTTCTGTGACAAGTATTTTCATAATGATCATGGTATGGATAGCGAATATAATTCGATATTCAGATTTAATTTGATGAAAGCAAGTTTTCACTGTCTGCGTCGAATAAGATACAAAGTAAAAGTCAGGAATAAATCGAACCTCTTCAGAATTACGGAATAAAACAGTAAACACGAACATTGCATAATTGTCGGGATAGGATACCTTTCAAGTTTTTGATATCCAGAACAGGCGAACCAGAAATAAAGATCTTAATATTCTAGCAAGATTACGAAAGGAGACAAATAGGTGGCGACATATTCTAATAAAGAAAGAAAAAAAAAACAAAAAAAAAACAATGGAGCCTCGCCGGAAAATAAAAGCAGAGAGACTACACTTTTAGAACCCACTATCGATTCTGTATGGAGAAATTGAAAAACAAGTGAACATGAAAAAAACAACCAAAAATATTTTGTTGGAAGCAATGTCTGGTTTTATGCACAAAATAGTTTTAAACGAGACTGTTCACAGTATTTCGGGAAATGATTCGCAGTATTTTATAAGTTTTCTATTTATTTTTCGGTTATTACAAGCTGATAAGCCTGATACCATCAATATATTCATTGTTTAATGTTGATCGAAGCATTAATTTCAGTAATATTTTGTTAATATTATTGTGAATGCATTTAATTTAGTTGTGACCGAATATTATAGAATGACAGAGTTTGTCAAACAACTGATCCAAGTAACTTCATCTAGTTTTTGGTAATATTCTATTGGAAGTCAATGTTACCAGTTAACCATTTAATTAAATTTTTCAATGGTATTCTGACATACTTAAATTAGTATTGAAAAATTAAAATGAACCACACTTAACATTTAATAAAAATATTTCGGTTTACATTCATTTTTTAAAACGTTTGATAAGCTCAATTGCGAGTAATTTTTTTGTAATAAAATGCCAGATATACTATATTTATTTCACTCTTACCTCATCTTAGATCCTATGGGGAGATGAGACTTAAGCTGTTTATTAAAATGTACAGATTAGAATTTAGAGAAATTAGATTGTGAAAATTCATAAAATATTTTATCGAAATCAGCCATATAATAAAACTATTACACACAAAGAATTCTTCAACTCCAAGAACTGTTTGTACCGAACTCTGTATAAGCCTTTATCTATCTAGGGAATGACAATAACTAAAAATTATAAAGAAAAATAAAATAAAATAAAATAAAAAATGATGGGGTGGTTAAGCCGGGTAATCCTAAATTAAATTCATTTTAACCGAATTTATCGGTTATGAAAGAATGTGGGATTTATAAATCTTCAGATAAAATATTTGTTTCCTCGATTATCGAAGAGTGTTTACGCTGTAAAGCGCTGAATGTTTTCAAACCATTCGCTCTATTTGTGCTATTAAGTCCAGATGCGAAAATTACCTCTGGAAAATTAAATGAATGAAGATGACACAGCAAATACCGCGAAATTGAAAAATCGATGCGTTGAATTTTTAAAAATAGAAGCTAAATTTATTTTTTATAAAAAGTTGGCGGGAAATGGAAAAATAAGAAAGGCGAAAGAAACATCAAGGAAAGGAAACTAGAAAAGAGAGGAAGCAGAAAGCGATGGATAGAGCGATGAAAAGGAGGAGGAACCAGGAATAGAGACGGGGGTGGTGAAAAGGAGGAGGAACCAGGAATAGAGACAGGGGCGATGAAAAAGGGGGAGGAACCAGGAATAGAGACGGGGGCGATGAAAAGGGGAGGAACCAGGAATAGAGACGGGGCGATGAAAAGAGGGAGGAACCAGGAATAGAGACAGGGGGCGATGAAAAGGGAGGAACCAGGAATAGAGACAGGGGGCGATGAAAAGGGGAGGAACCAGGAATAGAGACGGGGGCGATGAAAAGGGGAGGAACCAGGAATAGAGACGGGGGCGATGAAAAGGAGAGAGTCAGGAATAGAGACAGGGGCGATGAAAAGGGAGGAGTCAGGAATAGAGACAGGGGCGATGAAAAGGGAGGAGTCAGGAATAGAGACAGGGGGGCGATGAAAACGAGGAGGAGTCAGGAATAGTGACGGGGTGATGAAAAGAGGAGAAACCAGGAATAGAGACGGGGACGACGAAAGGGGAGGAACCAGGAATAGAGACGGGAGCGATAAAAGGGGAGGAACCAGGAAGAGAAACGGGGTCGATGAAAAGGGGGGGGGAACCAGGAATAGAGACGGGGTCGATGAAAAGGGGGAGGAACCAAGAATAGAGACAGGGGCGATGAAAACGAGGAGGAGCCAGGAATAGAGACGGGCGCGATGAAAAGGAGGAGGAACCAGGGGAAAGAGGGGGCGATGAATAAAAGGAAACAGTGAAAGAGTCGGGGGCGATGAAAATGGAAACAGTGAAAGAGTCAGGGGTGATGAAAACGAGGAGGAACCAGGAATAGAGACGGGGGCGATGAAAACGAGGAGGAAACAATAAGAGGAAAAACGAGAAGAGATGGGGGTGATGAAAATGAGAAGGAAATAGGAGGAGGTAACAAGTGAGGAAACAGGTAAAGAGATGGTGGCGATAAAAATGGCGTGTGGAAAGAAAGTTCAGAGCAAGGAAGGGAAGAAAGAAGATGCATGGGTCAAGGAGAGGATAACAGAGAAAAGTGGGACAAGGAAGGATAAACAAAGAGATAGTGGGGCAAGCAGATTCGGTGATTAATGAACATTTTCTAATGCAGTAATTTGTCATATTTTAAATTGACAATGTTGAGATGTCCTTAAATTAGAACTGGTTACTGCTTCATCTTTTTTTTTTTTGTGATGACTGTAAGGAAATTGTACTATCACGTCAGAGTCACTCCTCACACCAATTTTGTGACAAGCTGCATCCGTATAAGGCCTCAAATAGCAGACAGGTACAACTTCTCACTTAACGAACAGCTCGTATAGCAACCATTTCGATGGCATGGAACCCGGTCTAAGTGGTTTGGTTTGGTTTGGTTTACGGCATATCAACCTCAATGGGTTATTTAATGCCGACAACATTTTTTCCTGTTAATATTTTTGTTTCGTCAAAAATCTATTTCTGATAATATTTTTCCTCAAAAATGTATAGCTGGTGATATAATTTCAAAAAATGTATTCCTGGTAATGGTTTTTTTTTTTCAGAAACCTATTTCTGGTAACATTTTTTCTTCTTCAAAATTTATTTCTGGTAATAATTTTTTACAAAGTATTTCTGGTATTAAAACTTATTTTTATACTTTCATAATGCTTTTTACGTCAGTTTCGGGTTAACTAGTTGCCCATAGTTGGGACCCTAACAAGTGCTACCACCCCGGGTCAGAGTGGACCTGGGAACACCAGCAATTAAGAGGTGGTTCCACGCTTCTCAAAGCCTCCTGATCAGAGGCCTTTCTGTTGGGCGTAGTTTATCGTCTTACCCTGGACGGCCAGTTAAAGGGGGATTGACTGTGTTGTCATGTTGCAAATTCGTGTAATAATCAGAAAATGAAGCTGTAAACAAAATTCTATTTTAATGTTGCCCGCGTTTCAACTGAAGACGAAAGCAAATCGTGACTTCGATTCTTATTAGAAGCACCAGATTTGTGGCTTTTTGTCAAACTATATTCATCTTAATTTCACAAGACATGATTTCAAGCGAATAAAAGTATTCTTTGCAATCAGTTCGTTATATTTCCACTTGATCCTAATCCTTCATTTATGCAAAAACATACCCGCTAAGCAATGGCTGTGGCTCGTATTTTAAATCTGTAACTATGCAAAGTGGTTATCGGATATAAAACAGAGCCTCAATTACATATGCCGACATGTAGTTTAATCCATTGATTTCCGTTTATCATTACAGCGGGTTCAACATCTAATCACCGACGACAAATACATTGATGCTCCTAACTTCAGTTAAATAAGCAGTTATTTAGTACTACCAGTTCAGACGTTCACTGTTGGTCCTAGCAGTGAACGTCTCAACTGGTAGAACTAGCCATAGTACTTACTTGAGAACGATTCAACATCATACCCCGTCTATTCCATTAACCAGGAGGAGATTTTGCCCTCACCCAGCATCTCCCAGAACTATTACTTTGTGAAACAGATAATGGTTGGCTCATAACTTGATCCAGTTGATGATGAAAGCATCCTCTCAGTTATTTATCCTGCATATCCTAATAATCCGCTCCTGTCTTTTACTCTTAGGTCCACATAGCAAGCATACTCAGGAAAACAAGACGTTGAGCTTTTACTGGGTAAATATTTAGTTTAAAATAAATAACTACGTAACGTCCGCACTTTTAAACAAAAAAGGATTCACTTTTTTAGGATAAAAGAAAAAATGATTTTTGAAAAAAAAAAAAAAAAAAACATAAAACATCGCGCTTTTTTTATTTTAGGTTTTCCAACGAAGAAATTAATCATGTCTGATTCTTTTCATCACTAATTATAAAACATATACAGTTAATTAGATGTACATGCAAATGAAAGCTTATTTTTTTTTCTAGAGAAGCCGATGAAACAGGTTATTTTAAATTGTCCGATATCGATCCCTTTAGGCTCTGATCAGTTTCCGCGCTTAATAGCAAATAAACACGTTAATTTTATTTGTTTGCAGAGAGGCTCGTGTTTAATTTGCCATCTGTTATGAGAAAGGAAATGAAAAAAAAAGAATTAAATTGTGAATTTTATCAACTTAATGGGAAATGGCATGATTATTTGCAGATAAGTGTGAATAAAGAATTATTAAAATGAGCTTCTGTAACATAGTTAGAATTACGGAAAAAAATTATGTCTTGGACTGCTTCGATAGAGCCAATTACAAAAAATTGTACGGTATATTTTGACAGAGGGAAAGAGAGAGTGAGAGAGAGGGGAGAGAATTCCATTTTACACGCTTGTGTAAATGAATGGCAAAACAGTGCGCGTGAAGGGGCGTGTAAAGAAAAGGCCTATTAAGAGCAACGAAGGATAGGAAGTTGTGAAGACCCATGATTACCCAGGTCCTTAAGAAACAAGAACCAAAGAAAGATTTAAACATAGGATTAAATATAAATCTCAGTAGTGGTAATTTGTAAAATTAAGTTTCGAACATTTGTTAAGGAATAAAATTTCCAATTATTCCAGCCACTTCAATTGACATGTATCGTCAAAACGCAAACTTAGTTTCTTTTTTTTTTTTCTTTACTCTAAAATTGCTCTGATAATTCATAGAAAATAGAGGAAGCAATGATTAAACGAGAAAACTGGAGGTCGGCGAATCCTTAGCAAAATAAAGGAAAAGATAAACAGAGGAGCAAAAGGTTGCTAGATTCATAATTAATGCATAGAAGGAAAATATAAAAATAGGAATATGGAGAATTTAGTTGACTGTTAAGCTATGGTAGAGAATATGACAACATTACCACAGAAAGAGTTATGAAATGGTCAGTAGACAAGCAATAACTGATGAAGATTATATGAAACTGGAACATATTTATTAAGCTTATCGTAGATGCATGCAAGGTCACACTAATTAGACACCTTGTAATAATCCAACGAATATTAGCCAATTGGCCTTCCTGGTGCATCATAATCATTTTACCCAATGCAACTTAAGCGTCAAGACTGAAATCCGAAATGGAGCAAGTTGCAACAACATGCAACTTTCAGAACTAGAAAATTGAGACAAATGCTTGTAGAAAAAAAAATGAAAATAAAATTAAGTGAAAATGATGAAAATATTTTAAAAATATCTTAATTATAATTTCGTCTCTTGCCATTATCACAAAATTTAGTCAAATAATCATTTTCTGTTTCTTTATACTTGTTCTGATGACGATCTATATCACGTGCGGCCCATTGTTTGAAAAAGATGGATACATGATATATACTGTATGCCTGATTTAAATCGTGCATGTTTATATATATATGAAAAAAGTTTCCAGAGTTAACCTGTAAAAGAAGGCTATGTATAAAGATAAAAGATAATAGGAAAAGTGTATTATTTACCGACGCGTTTCGTCCAATGTGGACTTTTTCAAGGCAGAAAAGAAATGAATTTATTGAAAACAAAGTAAGTATTAAGAAACAAAATGTCTTAACAATTAGAAGAATTTAGAAAACGCTATTTTATTTATATTGTCAACTTGACGCAGTTTACCACATTCTTCCTATTGTCTTTTACCTATATATATATATTATATATAGGTAGGTAAATTTTATATATATATATATATTAATCCTTTCATAACATATTTGTTTGGCTATAAAAAGTTACAATTGATATTGGGGTTTCAATACCAATGTTGCACTGAGCCGATAAAGGCAACAGATTTTCCATGTGTAAAGATCGAGGAAATATTTTAAAATTACCATCAGAAATTTCGAAAAATATGAAATCCTGTACAAGATTCAATTAAATGATGGTGGCAACGATTTATTTCCTTTTGAATTCGTTAGAATGAAAATTGTTTCTTATAAAGGAGTTGCTTTTTAAAACATTTGTTTCGAAAACACATGACAAAAGGCGGCAGTGTATGAAGAATATTAAGGCAGCAAACGCCTCCTTTTACTTTAAATGAATCGAGCTATTATGAACAAATTGTGCCTTTCTGTTCCGCCGATTTCAAAGAATATGAAGCGGTTAAGAATTTTGAAAACAATTTTTCTTCAAAAAATATTCTAAGAGGAATAAGAAAACATAAAAATGAATCTGTCGAATTAATAATTAAAGTAATCATCAAGGCGAGTCCCTCAAAGTCATAGAAACAAAAGAAATCGTTAGCTTACACATATTTACTCAGTTATATTGATAATATATATGTTATATGTATGTAGATATTCCAATATGTATACTGTCGAATTTGTATGCCATTAACTCCCAGAAAGACGTTAACCTGGGTTAATCATACTTTTATATTTACCTACAGTTTTTGTGTAATTCAGTGCCTGCGCTAAGAATCCAAAAATAAATTCTAAGTAGCTGAAAAAACCCAAAGAACAAAAAGCAAAAAAAAAAAAAAAAAAAGAAGACTATCACACGCACAGAATGTTAGATATCTCAAGATATTCAGGCGGTCTAACATCAAAGGCTTGTTCAAAAGGAACACATCAAAAGCAAAACAATCTACAGTTAGCGCTTTTTTTTTTTTCCGTAGTGTATTATATATATATATATATATATATATATATATATATATATATATATATATGTGTGTGTGTGAATAGAAACTATCGCATCAAGAAATAGCTGTGTCGAAAAGACATTCTGGAAAAACAGCAGGTCACTTGACATGAAAAGATGACGAGTTAGAAATGTCAGGTCATCTATTGATTAAAATATTCCCCGATATGTTGTCATATTTTAAAATTTAAATACATACTTCAGTCAATAATTAGTAGATAAATAAATTACATCAGTAATGTCTATTCATCAATCAACTTGTCAATGCGCTTAATCTAAATCTTTTTAATTACTCACATTATACGTTGGAAACAAGACCTTAACATTTTCTTGAAACATACATGACGCTTTACATTCAACCAGAATACATACAGTACACGGGCTCGGAGAACCCACGGTAAACTCGGCCTTGTGTCCCATAATTCCCTCGTGGGGGGGGAACTGTTAAATATAACAGTACACATCCGCTTGTAAGTATATTACTCAAGAGATCCATGATCGTCCACGTCCTGAAAGGATACTGCACAGGGAAGATCCATAAATACACACAAGGAATTTATATATATATATATCAT